AACAATCAAATAGAATGCACGGCATCACCCTCCGTGCTTTTCCTCACATAACTCTCATTTCATGGCACGGAATGATCCTTCGTGCAATTATAGTCAAATCAGAACATGGCACGGAATGACCCTTCGTGCAAATATAATCAAAGCATGCACGGAATGACCCTTCGTGCAAATATAATCAAAACATGGCACGGAATGACCCTTCGTGCAAATATATCAAACGTGGCACGGAATGACCCTTCGTGCAAATATAATCAAAACATGGCACGGAATGACCCTTCGTGCATTATCACTCTTCCTCACCCAAACAACAATCACAACCAAACGGGCGAGGGAATAAGCAGATAATAAGAAATGTCCCGACAAGGGATAACACAATTAAACAGCTAAATCCCAGCAAGGGAGTAACAACAACAACAACTTTCACATCCCGGCAAGGGAGATAATCAATATACTAAAACCATCCCGGCAAGGGATTAATCATATCTCTTTCCATTTCTTTCATTTCTTACTCAATAGTATTTTTATTGTTCGAGCCAACGCTCCAAAGAATTTACAATTCATAACCAATCCTCAAACTCTTCACATTATATAGAATTCATCAATTAGCATAGAAGAGTCTCAAAAATATCATAAATACGTGCAAACAAGGACCCACGGTCATGCTAGACACCGGTGTATAGATACTCGTCACCATGCCTATACACCATACTCGATCATTTAGCATTTAGCAATTAATGACACTCTAATCCTATTCCCTCAAGCCAAAGTTAGATCAAACACTTACCTCGGTCCAAAGAATAGCAATCAATCCTCAAATACCGCCTTTCCTCTACAATCCGACTCCGAAACAATGATATCTAGGCATAATTAATTCAATAATATCAATAAAGACTCAATGGCAACATCCCATAGCCTAGATATGAATTTCCTAATATTCTTCCAAAAATACCAAAAATCGACCCCGGGCCCGCTTGGTCAAAACACGAGGTTCGGAATTGTTTCGAACCAATTCCATGTCACCCATTCCCCCACGAGCCCGGATATACAATTTGTTTTCAAATTTGACCCCAAAACGAGGTCTAAATCAAAGAAAATTGAAAAGCCCTAATTGTACCCTTTTCCCCAATTCTTACCATGAACTACATGATTTAGGTCTAGGAATTTGATAAATGATGATAGAAAATGAAGAAAACGAGTTAGATAATACTTACCCAAGAAGCTTTGATGAAGGATAGCTCTAAAAATCGCCTAGGTGCTGTGGAGAAGATGAACTCGTGTGTTTTGGGTGAAAAATCCCGTTACTGGTCTGTTTTTAGGCTTTAAAAATAATTGGGCGAATTTTCCCTACGCGATCGCGGAAATAGGGGTGCGATCGCGAACGGTCCCACTGACTGGTCATCGCGATCGCGTGGATGGTAACGCGAACGCGTAGAAGAAATACTGGGGGTCCAAAAGTTTGGTCTATGCGAACGTGAGTCTACTGGTGCGAACGCATTGAAGGAAATGCTGAAGCTATGTGATCGCATGACCGAGTACGAGAACGCGGAAGAGGAAAAAGCCAAAGGAACGCGAACGCGGGCTGAAGATTGCGATCGCGAAGGAGGGAACAACTGTGCAAAAGTTGCAGATATTCTGCAACTTTCTCTAAGGCCAAAAACATTCCGAACCACCTCAGAATCACTCCCGAGCCCTCGGGGCTCCTAACCAAACACACACACTAACTCAACAACCTCATACGAACTTAACCGAGCGATCAAATTGCCAAAACAACATCAAAATCAATGAATCAAACCTCAAAAGCATCATTTTTCATTCTAACTTCACAAACTTCAAACTTTTGATATTTAGGTCCGAAACACGTCAAATGACGTCCGATTTCGACCAAACTTTACAGAAAGCGCTTAACACATATTTAAGACTTGTTCCGGGCGTCGGAACCAAAATACGAGCCCGATACCATAGTCTTTTAATAAATTCTCATTTCCATTTTCCTTAATAATTTCAGAAAACAATTTCACAGAAAAATTCTTTTCCCGGCCTCTAGACCTCGGAATTCGACTCCGGGCATACGCCCGAGTCCCATATTTTTCTACGGACCCTCCGGGACCGTCAAATCACGGATCCGGGTCCGTTTACCAAAAACATTGACCGAAGTCAACTTTAATCATTTTAAAGCCACATTTTAAAAAAATTCACAGAATTTAACATATAATCTTTCCGGCTACGCGCCGGGACTGCGCACGCAAATCGAGGCAACTAAAGGTGAGGTTTTCAAGGCCTCGGAAGCACGGAAAAAGAGGGAAATCCGGTGATGACCCTTTGGGTCGTCACACTAATAGTACATTTAAACTTTTAAAGGAGTGTTGTGGTCAAGGGAATGTGGGATCCACGTATACCAAGGAGGACACAATTTGCATTTAAGAAATACAAACAATACAATAATTTTTTTCAAAATGACATATATGCCCTTGGTTGACCATCTTTCCTTTTCTATATAATTCTATATAATAGAAATGTTTTGAACCCCCTTGACACAGCCCAAAGCTTAGTGGTCAAGGGGGTTCAAAACCTTTGTAAGGGCATTAGTTCAATTCCAACTTTTTAAACTTTTTTCTTTTTTAAATCCCTTAGCAAAAATCTTGCATCCGCACTGATTGTGGTCACAAATGTTGTTGAACGTTCTGTCTTTTGATAAAACATTACTACTCCACTATACACGCATCTTCTTTTGTGTTAGTCAAATGGTCATTACAGGATGTCGCTGCTACTTGGGAGCCCCCCCCCCCCCCTTTTTTTTGGGGGGTAAATTTCTCCTGTGTATGCTCTGCCCTTTGTATATGTGAGAATTTTCACTTAGCTTATTGAAACGCTAGAGTTATAGTTTCACAAATGGTGTTATGTCTCATACTTTTAGGATCTACTAATATTTATTACTTAACGCATCTATCTATATATAAATATAAAGTAGAGACATAAGCCTGCCTAGGTGTCACCTCTCATTGCCCAAGAATCTCAATTATCTCCATTCTCCTTTTTCTCATATTTTTCCTTTTAAGTGCTCTATCAAAAATTCTTGAGTTACCTTTTATAATAATAATAATAATAATTGTGGTTCTTCCTATAATTACTTTCACATGTCGCTTCGCTTCCTCTTCCGTTACATCACCTCCTTCAACCGTTTCTTCCTCTTCTTTCGCCAGTTAAATACCCATCTCTCCCTTCGTTCTCTCCGTCGGCCAACGTAAATCTCCTCTAGATTTCAATTGCTTGATTCTTCCTCTATTTTTATGTATTTATGCAGATATTTAAATTAATTACGTATGTTGTAAATTTTGAGCAAATTGATTCCGACTTTTTGTATCTGCCTAGAGTGCATTTGTATTGTATTGATTAGCTTTGCTTTGTTTGTTAGTGTTTATTGGTTGGGTTCAAATAATGGTGCTTTGGAAGAACCAAACTTAATTCTTTTGTATAATCTATAATGAGATATGCTCAAGTGAGAATAAACAGGCTTTTGAAGGTGCCGGGAGTTTCAAGTGATGAAGGCAATAAAAATTGATGAATTACATTCTTAGTTTAATCTCTTTTGCTGGTATTGTGACTATTGTTTCGAATTTATTTTGAACAGGAAAGATTTCTTCGGATAAAGTATGGTGAAGTTGAAGAAAAGAGGAATTGCCAACTCGAGAACAACTGTTGCACATGCATTGTTTCACCGAAATTTTTCTTTTTATTGTTGTAATGTTGTGCTTTTACTCAGTGTGCCACTGAGGTTTTTCCGAGAAAATTTTTTGTATTTCTTGTGAAATGTGTTTTCCTGTTTGTTAAAATTTCTTGACTGCTGCTTGAGTTTAGGATTATTTTTCCAGCATCTGTAAGTACTGCTCTCTTTCAAATCATATTAGCTAATGTGTTTGCATTGAAACATCTGTCGATAATGTCTAAGGTGTATGTGCATCTTCATGACTATTTCTTAAGGTCATAATTTTTCTTCCATGACAACATATCTTAAAGCTATTAGATAACTGTTGAAGCATATCAAATTGTGAACGCCGATCGGTACGGAGAATATAGAGTTTTTGCAGGTTGAGAGTTATGGTTGTTGCTGAATTAAAGCCAAACAAGCAACACTACTGATGAAATGTGAAAGAGAAGGAAATACTGGGTGGTAGAAGCAGAATTCCTCGAAGCTTTCGTTAGTGCAATATATATTTCAAATTCTTATTTTCTTAAGTTGTTATTTGCAATATTTTTGTTTCTCAAATAGGAGTAGTATAATATTATAAGTACTCTAATTTTCAACACTTCTTCTATTTAGTATAAAGTGTATGAGTAAGAGTATTTCTTCAAAAGTTCAGTTTTGAAGGGTTCAAATGATGTATTACTTTCCTGCTGCAAAAGGCCATGTCCAATGTAAACCTTCATATAGTAAGATTGAAAAGTCGTTTCATCTGGATGAAGCTAAAGGTTCATATTTTAATTTTTTGCTTTTATTTTCAAGTGCTTAAAGGTGAGTTTTAACTTATATGCACTATCATTAAAAGTTTAAAAGACTATATTTCAGGAACAATTGTACTTTACCGGTTGTAATGAGTTATTTACCTGTTATAATAATTTATGGTAGATCACAGAGAGATGATTGATTAATGTAAATTGATTCTTTATAAGAAATATTACACTTTTTTTGAAAATTTTCTTATTGACCGCGCAAAGCGCGGGTTAATTTACTAGTTTACTAATTAAGGCTAGATTATGTTAGTCATGGTTCTGCTGCTACTTTTCTGCTTTTTTTGTTTGGATTATTACATTTTATCTTTTAATCTGAGTTTGGTTGGCAACTCCAACAACCTGGGCATTACATGAATCATTATTGCCAGCAGTGTTGGTTTATGCATGCTCATCCTACAAAAGAAGATAAATATAATTACATTTTTGATAAAAGGAAACTATGAAATACAGAAGTACAGATAAAAATGAAAAAGAGGGAACCACACAAGCCTATTGTCTACTTACGAAACTTTTTTTGTTTATGAAAAGGTAGATATTTTATTGAATGGTACCAAGATGGTACTGAGAGATTACACCAGAAAGTGGGGAGCGTCCTTCTACAGATTGAAGAGAATGCACACAGTGAGTTTATGTCAGAGACAATACTGTTCTTAGTCCACAGATTTACAAATGAAATGTTGCCCCTCTTATCACTAAAGCACCTATTGTTTCTCCCTAACAAAGTGTTCCAGTAAGTACAATTAGGAACAGCTTTCCAGAACTGTCTGTTGCCAAAACAACCGCTTATACCAGCAGCATAGGGTAAGTTTGATACTTCCTGGCATGACTCATTGGACCCCAAAAATACTAAGGAACGCTAATCAAATGTGCAATGAAGCAGTATGTGAGAGAGTGATTCATTAGCCTCCTCACAAAGGAAACATCTGCTACACATAGATAGGCCTCTCTTCTGCAAGTGAGTTAAGCAAGCCAGTAGTAATCCAAGTTAAGCGAGCAGCTCTTCGGGGTGCGATTGTCTTCCAGGTAAACTTCCTTGGCCAACTAACTTGAGACTCCTCCTCTATTCTTTAATAGACTTTTGTAGCAAGCATTAACAGTAAACTAGCCATCTTTTCTTCATCTTCCACATTAGAGTGTCAAGAGAAACCGGCTCCAACTTCTGGACATTAATACAATCAATCTCTCAATCATTCATGTTTCTCCTCAGATGTAGCCAGCAGGTTTCATCCACAAGGAGAAAAGCAGTCAGCCGTAGTGCAGTCCTTATTGGAACAGATTGTGTAAAGGTCTGGGAATTGGTCTTTGAGAGGAATATCATCTAGCGACTTGTCTATCCACATTTTTATTCACTTTTCATTGCTTATTTTCAGCTTGATATTCTCAGAAAACTCATCCCAAAGCCCCCTTATGTACTTGTGAAACATTGCAACTAACTCATAACTGAAAATTTACATTCTACAGAATGAGTAGGGTAGAAACACTTGGCTAAAAGAAAATTGCAATATAAGTTCCAAAAGTACCAGATTAAGAGTACTCCAAATAGAACAGAATAAAATTGAGCTGAAAATCTTTACTTTATCAAAAAAAAAAAAAAGAGTTGAAAATCTATTAATATGCATTATTCACTTATATCATGTTAGTAGGGGCTGTAGTAAAGGCAGTGGGAGCTATTAAGTAATATGCATTATTCACTTATATCATGTTAGTAGGGGCTGTAGTAAATGCAGTGGGAGCTATTGTATTAGGAGCACCTATTGGTTTTGAGTATGTAATCTTTTGGTGTTTCTAATCTTTTATAATGACACTGAAGCCTGGAGCCTTAGTTGAAGTTGGATGGAAAAATCTATCCTACAGCATAGATTATGACAATGTCCTTGCATGATCATCAGGTATGCTCTCTATTTTTCACAAAAACCCCAAAGATTGGCAATTCAAACATTCTATTCAGTCACTATATAACAGCATAGATAGGTTTTCCTTGTCGGAAGTAGTAATAGCGGGAAAAGGAAACCGCTGATCCGCGATCCACGCACAGCAATCCAGTAATGCATAAACCAAGTACTTCAAGACTGACTGAAACTAAAAAGCAGATCTCCCAAGGCAACACTCTCCAACAACCTTTAGGTAAGACAAAGGGAAAGGCTTATTCAACTCCTTAAAGAAAAATAAAAAGAAAGGTCATGCCTGCACCCAGGGGTGCGGCCTAGAGGTCAACAAAGTGGGTGAGAACCATGAGGTATCAGGTTCAAACCCCAACAGAGACAAAAACACTAGGTGATTTCTTTAAATTTGTCCAAGCCTTCTAGTACCTGTTGCTGGTGGGAGGTGACAGGTATCCTGTGGAACTAGTCGAGGTGAGCACAAGCTGGCCAGGACACCACAGTTATCACATAAAAAGAAAGAAAGACGCCAAATAGATGAAATCATACATGCATTTTAAATTGCATCAGCAACAATTTCGAATATTATACAATATAGACTTGAATCAATGCAAGTTAGTTAATGATCACGAAAAGATGAACACGAGAATTTCTATCTTTGTGTTGAGTTATAGCTTATTGTTGTTTCAAGCAAAGACCGAAATCACAGAGAAGGTGTCTGAAAATGCGAGGAATTCAAAGTGTCAGCATGTTCATCAACTAGTTTCTTTGGGATCAAGCAGTTGAAGAGAGCACATATAAACTTGAGAGAATTAAATTGCTTATTGAACTGTTGCCCCCTTTTTTGGGTAACAACAACACCATCAAAGTCATTCATCAACTTAGCATTTACGAATCATATTCTTAGATTTTGAACTGCAAAGATTCAGTAAATGTATGACCGCAATTTATTTTCTAAATCTTCATCAAGAATAAAGAGGGAAAAAGGAACCTGTATACACGAATGTGGTTTTAACTGGATGTCACCATCAGTGTCCTTTCTTGTGTATATATTAATAACAAGAAGTGCTGAATTATCCGGTAGAAGCAAAAATGGGAGCATTTTGATATCAATGACATTGTGCACCACCGTTTGCATGATATACCTAATTTGCAACTCCACCTCCTTTAAGTCCTAGGCCAAAGTCAGAGCACCCTGCTAAACAACACAAGTTCTTTTTAGTGGCATGCCTTTTAACTCGGTTTCATCTAAAACTCTTCACATTCATCATACTTATCCACATCTTACCACACTCCAAAATTGAATTTCATGGGAAGCGACAAACTTATCTCATTTAGAGCTTTAAGATTTCATTAAGCTCCAAATAGGCACTCAGTTTGGGTATTATCCGTAAACTGATGTGCTTCACAGTTTAAAATGGTAGGGGAGGCGGCCAGATTTGCTTAGCAACCTCAAAATCTCCTTCGCAAAATCTTGATTACCAGTTAGCAAAAGCCCATTTAGGACCCGGTTGAAGGTAAATTTTCGAGGAAGAAATCCTCTGTCAACCATTTCTGTCAATAGTTTCCCAGCCACTAATAAATCATCTGATTTTTTCCTATCAAACATTGCACTTATCAAAATATTATATGTATCCAAATTAGGTAAACAATCGCCGGTACTCATCCTCTCAAACACCCTCAGGCCCTTCTCAATTTCCCCTTCATCACAATAGTATCGGATGACAACATTATAAGTCTGAACATTTGGTTCACACCCATCCTCTTTCATCTTATCCATATATTCCGTAGCCCTGTCCATTTTTCCAACATGGCACAATCCCCTGATAATGGCATTATAAGTTGTGGCATTCGGCAAATAACCTTTCCTCAACATCTCATCGAACACCAAAATAGCATTTTCCACACTATCTTTCTTACACAAAACTTGTATCAGAGCATTATAAGTTGCAACAGAGGGAAGTATGCCAGCTCCCACCATTTCATTGAACACCTTTTGTGCCTTCTCAACTTCACCCGCAACACCAAATCCGTGAACTACAGTAGTGTAAGTAACAACATCAATATCACATTTCCTCTTCTTCATCTGCAAAAAGAATTCCCAAGCTTCCTTAATCTGTCCTGCTCTAAAGAACCCGTTAAGCATTATGTTATATGTAGTTATTGAGGGATTCAAACCTCTCTCCACCATTTCTTTCAAAATATCTTGTGCTTTAGGTGTTCGCTTAATTAAACAAAACCCGTTCGCAAGTGTGTTATAACTAATCGTATCAGCTCTGAACCTGCTCCTAAACATCTTGAACAAATTATAAGCCATCTCGACCCGTTTAGATTTACAAAGCACGTCAAGGAATGCATTGAAAGAATTCAAATCCTGAGGGCAACCATGTTTATGCATAGACAGGAAAACCTTCAACGCTTTATCAGCTTTCCCAGCAGATACATACCTCTCAGTGATGATAGCGAATGTTTTCGGGCTCGGGCCGAGCCTCCGAGATTGCATTCGGGCCACGAGCTTCCAAACGGTCTTGTAATCGCGCATACGAGCAGCGATGTCAATAGCATGGTCAAAGGCTGTAGCAGAGTGAGCATAGGAACGGTGGTGATCGAGGAGGTTGAAATATTGGAGGGCTTTCGGGCCGTGGTTCCAGAGACGCTTTAGGACAGAGTGAACGAGGTCAGGTGTCCATTGGGTGAGGTTGTGAAGGATATCTGATAATGATTCTGGGTTGGTTTGAAGTATGAGGTTGGAGATTGCGGTGGCGTCTGGTGGTGACTGTGACGGCGATTGTGGTGGTGACGGTGGTGGAAGAGAGGTGAAATGGCGGAGGGAGATGGAAATGGGATTTAGAGGTGCTTTGAGGATTGTAGTATTGTGCAGATTCAACATCTCACCGTTCTGCTGATTATTGCCCTAAACAGTAAAGACTGCCGGCAAACAAGTGTTGATGAACCCTTCAATTCATGTTGGCTAATTTTTTTTATTTTTTTTTAAGGTGGGTAATCGATTAGACTAACCTCTAAAATTAAATTGAATTAGATCAATTCAATATTTTTAAATTTGAATTTAAATATATAAAAACTATACGAAAAATATCACAATATAAATATAATGATAAATACATTATAAAATGTAGGTCCAAATTCTCATAATTTGACTCTGAACTCTGAAGAAGCAAAACATGACAATTTATAGGCTCAAAGATGTTAACTAAGATACATAACAATTAGGTGGGTAAAATATACATATCTGGCTCAACAAGAAAACGCCTATATCACTTCCAAGACTGAACAACACTACTATTTCGCTTTGCAAACACACGGGGCAAGTTCTAGGCATCAAATGCACTGCACAGAATAACACATAAACCTCACACACACACGGCACATAACTCACTCAGGATTGGATTCATCAAGACACTCTAGTCAAAGCAGTTAAGCAAAGTTAAAATCATACAATTTAAGGTACTTCTACAAGAGTCAAAAATTGAGCCTAAGCGTCACAACCAAAGTACTCACTATTCTCAAGGCATAACAAAGTCAAGAGATGTTGCTTCAATTCAAAACTCAACACAATGGCTCCTATTCCTAAAAAAAAAATTAACTACACCCGGTTCAAACAAAACCCTTGGAAAAGAACCGCGGCACAAAGAAAAACCAAGGGGGAATTATTACACTACCTAACAAAAGAAAATCTTTTTTTTTAGACTTAAATCCCTCAAGAAAATTGTCTAATAGATCCATCGTCGGAAAAAGTCCAATCTTTTAATAAAAAAAATTATTAATCTAACACAACTAAAATAGCGTAGAAAGTCACCCAGACGATCTCCTCACCCCACACTTAAAATTTTGCATTGTCCCCAATGCACACCATAACTAATAAAAAGGATAAAAGAGACTCCCTGGTGGGCCAAAGGTCGAAGCACTACAGCTCATGGGGTACTCGGACTTCTCCCCAACTTGGTCCTTCGTGCGGGTACCTCACACTTAGTTCCAACCATTTGGTTTGCTGTTGCATTCTTCCAATACATTTGCTTTCCATGCTCCTAGAAAATAAAAAAATTGACACTACAAAAATAATACAATTAAAAAAATAAAAATAAAAAAATAAATAAAAGAAAGCAATAAAGCTGGGTTGCCTCCCAACAAGCGCTTGATTTAACGTCGCGGCACGACGTGAATCACTTTCTGCCTCCAATTTGAACTTATGAATCGGACCCCAAGTTTTGATTCTGCTATATGATCATGCTCCTGGGGTGGTGGAACGAATCTGACTGGCCCAATAAAATAATGTAGTATTCTGAACTTCTTGGCCTTTAGATGAGGTGTGTAATCCCGATTTTCTGGCAAGAAGAATTCCAGAATGTAAGCACTTTGTTCCTCATTCCTTGACTCCTTAAATGGCTCGGACGACTCTATTTCCATATCATCATCTAAACACAATGTAGAAAAATGCTTGGAGTGAGGACCAATGCGCATAACTACATGAACATTGGGATTGTCTACATTCTCAACACTAATGACAATAGAGTCAACTAAATATGTATCCTCAATATCCTTGGTTGACTCTAGTATCTCTTCTACAACATCGACATCCTCAAAATCTAGTGTGATTGATTGTTGGTGTTCTACTCTAGCCTCCTCCTCTAGCTCATCAATTTCTGTATCTAATTCACGCTCTTCTTGGATACTATTCACAATATTGGCTTGTTGAGCATTAAAAACTTCAACCAGTTGACTCATGTGAACTTTCAAGTTGTGAATAGTTTCCTCCTGCCTTTCTATCCGCAGTAGTAATTTACTCTGTTGTTCCAAAATGCACTTTAACATATCTTCGAGCTTCTTTAGGTCAGCTTCCCTAGGTTCTTTGTTCCTATTAACTTCACCAGAAAAAGAAGAACAATCAAAGTAAGGGGTTGGGGGAAGGTAAGAAATATAAGCACAACCGTGAAAGTGACCATCTTGACCACCACACATATCACACACATTCCACACATAAGATTGAGTTGGTGCACAAAACTCGCTCTCAGGAATATTTTGATAATTTTGCCCTAGGTGGTTTCCTTCACAATATGCATAAGGAGGATCAAAAGTAGAATTACCAACAACAAAATTCTCATAATTCCATGATGTCATGTTTCTCAAATAAATAAATAAAACTAAAATAAAAAAAATAAAAAAATCAAATAATAAAATAAAAGTTCAAACTTGAAACCTAGCAATATGTACACCTACAACTACACCGTTAGTTCCCCGGCAACGGCGCCAAAATTTGATCACGCCCAACTATGCCTTATAAAAAGGACTAAGCGGTCGCTGCAAATATAATCCGGTTTACAAGTCCGGAGTCGAATCCCACAGAGAACTAAGGTTTAGCTACAGCTGTTCACTATCACCAAGAAGACAAGCTTGAACAATTCCTAACTTATAGATATTAAGATTCTTGTGTTTAACTAATTAACTAACAAATTAAAATAGTAAATTAACAACTAACGATACTGAGGGTTAGAGAAAAGATTAAGGAGGTCTAGAGTTATGATTTCCCCTATTGTCGGAATCCTTCCCGCTATGTCTTCTATAATTTCGCCTAAGTATTCTCTACCGATCATGAGCACTCTTATTACCGTAAATCTCTCCCGAGTAATTACGACAATTTACTAGACGCACTCTCCCGAGCTACGCTAGCTGGCTTTTAATACAGCTCACTTTTCAGATCGCACCCAAGGCGTTCATTATCCCCTAATCCCACCTTTAAACCCTCGTTATTGATCCCTCATATACTCTGGGAGTGGCGTTTGTTCAACAATTACCTAAATATGCACCTCTCCCGAGTTATGCTACTAAATAGGACAGCTAATGAGAGCTCCTCAACCAACCACATATAAACGTAGTTGAACAATAGAGAAAGTTATTGGCTCATATTATATAAAAACATAACAAGAATTTATCCACAAAGGTTCTATCAAACTCTAGATAAAAAATTAGCTATTCATAATAGTATGTAAAACTACAATACTAAAAGTCATAACCAACAATGAAAAATAGGAAGAGGAAGGAAAAAACTCGTAGAAGAATTCTCGCCTTGCTCCCAATGTGTTCTTGCCTCCTAGGTCGAATTCTAGTCTCAAAATATGTCCCATCTCTCCTTCAAAATAGGTTTAGGACCCCTTTTATACAAGTTGGAATATTGTAGGACCGAAATAAACTTGTCCCGGGCGAAATAGGACTTCTTTTTACGCCTGGAGGGGCGCGGCCGCGGTCAAAACGCGACGGTAGGACCGCGGGCCAGACAAGCTCTCTGATTTCTGCGCCTGCGGGCAGTTCCGCCATCGCGGCTTTCGACTGCATTTTCACCCTGTTCTGTTTGGAATTTGATAAAGACGTAAACATGAAAGTTGTAGCCTTTGAATTAGCTTTCTAACCATATATTGTGTGAGCCCAATGGATTCTGAGCAAAAAGTTATGTCCATTTTGCTAGACAGTGCGCAAATATGCCTCCTCAAGTCTTCGTTCGTACTAATTATCAAATTTGACCCCAGAATACGATCCGGTCTAATTCCTCTTTTACTCAGACTTCAAAGCTTCAAATCACTTAAATTCATTCCATAATATCTATATAGCTCGAATCACACCTACAAGGCATAAACACACAACTAGTGCAAAACACTAGCGATTAAAGCGCAAACTCAATTAAAGTACAGTAAATTCGAGTGTAATAAGCGACTAAAATATGCAATTATAGCCTATCATCAGACCTTCAGTTTTAGCATTTATAGCCAGGCACAGATTGCTACAGCCTCAGAGAATTTGAACTAGTGGAGTTTATATTTGAAAGAACTTCTAAGAAATGACCCTTACCGGATTGAAGACATGGATATGTATTCAGATGTGCTTTATGATATTGTAAAGGAATGTTATTCAGCACTAAGGTACTTGCAACGAGAGTATTTTTGACAGGTAAATACAGGCCAGAATCTTGTTTCATTATGGGAAACTTATTACAGTTTTAGGAATGAGAAGTCTGTAATGTATTTTCGGAGGGCTCTCAAATTGAATAAAATTAATTATGAGCTTGGACACTTATGTGGTCATGAGTATGTAGAGATGAAAAAGTAAAAAATATCATGGTATAGCCAGTTTCTACATGCGGTCAATAAAAATAATAGCAGCGTTTATCAAGTCAATGAAAAATAGCCACTATTTTGCTGCAACAGGGACCGGTCCAGTATAATATACGGGAGTTCTGGTGCATTTGTGTACGAACTCCAGCATATTATGCTGGACCGGTATACTTTGCTAACTCCTGTAAAATTTGCGGGAGACTGGAGCACCAGTGCTCCAAACTCCAGTATATTATACTGGACAATTATACTTGCTGGAACTCCCGTAAAATTTGCGGGAGTTCCAGCATAATTATGCTTGAACTCCCGTAAAATTTGCGGGAGTTCCAACATAGTTATCCTGGAACTCCCGTAAAATTTACGGGAGTTCAAGCATACTTATGCTGGAACTCCCATAAAATTTGCGGGCGTATTTTTCCGGATTTTGAACAGTGTTTCGCTCAGATTTAAAGTGGCTAAATTTCGATGACTTTTGAAACTTGGCTATTTTTCAACGACCAGTGGCAAATCTGGCTATTTTTTAATTTCTCCCGATGAAAAACACACCAGCCGCAGTTGATGCGTATAGGCGGATGGGGACATCAGGACATTGTAGCACGTAATTTTTGCCCCACATGAATTACTCCTACAGAATTCCAAAGAATTAGATTTTTTCTTTTAATTGTTTATCATTTTAGGAATTATTGTAGAATTTTCTTAATTATTTGTATTTTTTCTGTGCATGTTTAATTTTATTTAATTAGTGAAAATACAAAAATACTTTGCATTTGCATTTAGGATTTAATTTTTGCATTTTTAGATTAATTAGTAAATTGGTTGTTTTACAAAAATAGAAAAAATCACAAAAAAAATAACTCACTTTGCATTTTAACTTTTAATTTTTGAATTTTATAGTTTTTCTTTTAATGTAGGAGTTATTTAATTTTTTTATAAATACTTTAACTAGTAATTAGCTTAATTTGGTAGATTAATTTAGTTTCAAGAGTTAATTTAGGTTTTTAAATTAATTTGGAAAAGAAAAGGAAAATTTGAAATTGAAAGAGAAAAGAAAAGAAAATACAAGGAAGTCTGATTTTTGGGCTATTTTAATTAAATTTCCCCAGGCCCCAATCCAATTCCCCCCCAAAAGACCCGTCAATCCAGCCCAACTCTATCCCATACCCGGTCCAAATTAGTTGGTCTTTCAGACATTCAAACGACGTAGTATAAGGCCAATACTACGCCGTTTCGAGTTCTCTAATAATAAATTAATCCTGGCCATCTATTTGACTTCATCCAACGGCCAAGTAACCCTCCCCTATCTTAAATAAAATTGTCCGAACCCCTCAGATTAATCTCGTACCCCCTTCACTTCACCTTCCTCATCTCAGACAAACCCTAACGCCGCCCCAAATTCTTCACCTTCTCCGGTGGCGGTGCCACCTCAAACCACCACCAAATTTACACCATAAAATCCTCACAACCTCCCCTTTTCCAATCCCTAACCAGTTTACCTTGAATCACTCTAGAGCATCTCGAATCTTCAATTGAGACAATCCGGCCAAAACCCTAAAACTCCAAATCTCCCCAAATCGTCAAGTTCAACGAATGATTAGGGTCGGAACTGGCTTTGCTCGTCTGTTCTTGACAAGAACACGTGATTAGGGCCAATTCCGGCTCAAAATCGAAGGTTGTTGAAGCCAGGTCCAGCCTGTCGTCCGTCTGCCCCTATTAGGTATTTCAGTCTTTGTTTTCTTTCATTGGTTTTCGTTTTATTCCTATTTTCATCTTCTTCTGTTTCTCTTCTTTTCTTTCTTATTTTTTTTTAAAATCATTTCTGCATGCCTGTTAATTCTAGTTTATTTTTAGCCAGCATATTTTTTTAGTTTGATTCTGTTGTTTGATTACACTCCAGTTCCCTCTTATTTTATTTTAATTGGAATCCCTGGCTTCAGGAGTTCATATAACTCCGAATTGGCCATTTTCTTAGGTTTTCTGTTGGGTTTTGATTCACAAAGAAGGGGGTCAGTCTGGGTTTGTAAGCCTAGGTTTTGGGTTGATTCTTGGGTATATTTGACCCACATTTGGTCTTGAGCGTAAATAACAGAAGCCTAAAGGGTAGTTTAGGATTTTAGTTAAGGGGAATCTTGTATAACTGAATAGGAAACTTCTTGGAAGGTGGGGGAAAGGGACTGACCTAGCAAACAGGACCAAAATTTAGGGTAAAAGTGAACAATTTGAAAATCGAAGAAGGAGTAATGGTTGAAATTTGAAAATATCTCTGCTGTCCTAAAGGATTTGTATAAAAGGGCATGTTCCCTTCATTGTCGGAGAGATTTTTAGAGAATTAGAACCCTAAACATTTCAGAAACGGCCGAGCTCCTTCAGATTCTGAAAACACTAAAAACTATTTGCATCTTGTAGTGGAAATCTGCTTGTTTTTGTTCCTTGTTTCATTGTTGATCAGAATTTTCTAAAAAAGCTCCAAGAATTGTGTTCATTTGGGTTTAATTTGGTTTGAAAGAAGCTGGTTCTGCTGTGCTTGTTTTGCTGAAACTGTAAGCTGATACTGCTGCTGATTTCTTTCACTTTCCTTTGTTTTGATCTTTTCAGGTATTTCTTTGAACCTTGAATGGCAAATGAAGCTGTGAATGTGGCTTTTTGTATGGAAAGTGTGGTGTCTGTTGAAATTCAATAAAAGATGGCTTGTGTCTGCAACTTGATTTTCATATGTTTACTTAAGCTATTCAACCTCTTGTCTATTTCTCCTTCTACCTCTTTCTTAAAATCATAGATCTATAGTAGTAGATGTTTTAGTAGTTCATGCTTAAGTATTAAGTCTGTACAAAAGTTTGAAGTGGAACCATGTTAATTAGCTTGATCTTCTGCATTTTCTTTTAGTTGAACTGAGTTTAATCGGTCTCAAGCTCAATTGATTGAATATTCCTTTGAAAAAGGGGTCGATTGGATTCTTCCCCAATTGCATGGAAATGGTCGGTAGTTTATTGAAGGTTATTATCTAGTATGTATTTGGTTCCAATGGTTCGGATTACTGGTTGTTTGTTCATTCCACAAGTTAGGGTCTGTTACATTCCACTTATTAGATAACTGTTCTCTTAAATGGCCCAGAATTTTGGTTAAACAGTGTTGAACTCATATGTAAATTGATATAGTGTGCGTATGAATCACGAGGGACAGAGGTGAATAACTTAGGTAATGACAATTCGATGTTCAAATCTGTTAAAAATCTCGAATGGGTGGCATAATGTTTTATATATTGTTGTTCCTTTTTTGTCCTCCAAATTTTTGCTGCTGTGTTGTTTGCCGTATTTGGGCTCAATGTCAAGCCCAAAAGAACACTTATTCCCTCTCTCAGATCTGCTTGGGCATTTTATGTTGGGTGGGCTGGTTTATATCTGAAGCCCAGCGGCCCTTTGGACTTGCGTCTGGGTCCAATCCGCTGCCACCAACTTGTTTCTCATTCTGAAAATGGGCTCGCCTTTGAAGCCCAGTCCAAGGCACAACTCATGATCGATTAGATTCCAAATTAGATTAATTTTGCATTGGATTGAACAAGGGTTCCTTAAGTAAACGTATTTAGTTTAGATTGGGGGGCGCCATATCAACGAAACCTACAAATTATGGCTCCCATATAAATTATTAATTTTGTATTAAATAAGCTTGAACAATGGTAGATCGCCTTAGGCACGTAATGTTTAGTTCTAGATTGCCTCTAAAAAACGCTTATTCCCTTTTAAAACCATTTGAGGCGTGCCATGCCAAATAAAATCCTTAACCCATGGCCCTCATTTAATTAATTTTAACTCCTATAAATCGAGGTGTGCCATTATTAAATTCTCCATTGCCCTCCAAACCTTGATATTAATTTGAAATTTCGTAGTCGCTTTAGGCGCGCTGTTTAAATTGATTTTCTTTTATTTATTAAATTCGGGTGTGCATTTCATGTGACCTAATTTCAATTCTCAACAACGTTAAGTAAAATATGTCGTGGACCGCGGGTGCATTTCATGTGGCGTGGTTCAAGGCGTGTTTTAAATAACGTTGAACCTTCCTAAAAAATAATTAAAAGCGGTTAACAGGTTAAAATGTACCATCGGCTAAAACATGTTTTAAATCAGATAATAGGCCAATTATAATAGTTTAAGCGACCGTGCTAGAACCACGAAACCCGGGATTGTCTAACACCTTCTCCTGGGTTAACAGAATTCCTTATTCAGAATTTCTGGTTCGCAGACTTCAAAAGGAAAGTCGAATTTTCTCGATTTGGGATTTAAAATAAACCGGTTACTTGGGACACCAATTAAAATATTCCAAGTGGCGACTCTTAATCCCATTTCGAATAATGTTACTTTAATTGAAAAAACTCCCTTATGTACCCTCGGGTGTGTAAAAAGGAGGTGTGACAGACGTAAATCCATGTGATTATCGAGCCTGGTATGGATTAGGACAAGCATATATATGAGATGATGGGGATACCATTTTATGCTCTTCAATAATATTTTAAAAAGTCAGTGTTGTTGCAGCCGAAGGATTGTCGATTGTGGATAGTTGTGGCCCAGTATTACGAAACAGAACAGCTGCACATGCTTGAGTTGAGGAGGCAATATTCAAATGTTACAGAAGGGACGCAAACTGTAAAGACAGAGAAGCAATTGCTCCTCACCAGCTAGCTTAAATGCATTCTGAACTTGGTTATTTCGAAAAGGCAGCATTTTACTACAAGAATTTGGAAAGGATGGAAGCTGAAGAACGAAAAGGTTTAAATCTGGTTGAATCTTTAATGTGTCTTGCCAGATATTGTAAAGCACAACAGAGATTTGAAGATGCAGAGTTCAATTGCACCCGCTTTCTTGATTATTCTGGCCCAGTAAGTTTTACCTCTTATTAAGTAACTCACTAAAGAGTCAATTTCTCTCTATGATAAGTTAAAATATGTTCTGCTAAATCATTCTGGAAAACAACACTTTTAGCAGCTTCCTCAATATATTTGGTCATTAATGCAGAAGAAGCAAACAACAAAGAGTCTGCTTAAAGGAATAAGATATGAAATTGGATGTTGAGCTTTTGAAATAGGGGGTAGAAATGGTTTAAGGGCAAAAGAATGCAGATATAGTAATTGTATTTTTATTTAGAAAAGTTGGCCTGTTGGTCCATCGTTTGTGAGATCATTTCATGGACTGCCACTTTGGCTGAATTTTGTAAAATTATTAATAGTATGTTTTTCTACATCTAATCAACATGATGCGTGTAGGACAAACTGCATTTTAGTGTTTGTTAAGAGTAGCACCTTGAATATCATTCAGAAAAACCATTCGAATATAGGACATATACTCTCAATACAAGCTGTCACAAAGAAGTCACTACCATATTTTACAGACACGCCATACTGCAATACATCCAGCACAACAGATAAGAGTCGATCAGATCACATTACGAATCTTGATTCAAGATGATAAGGGTGAAGTCTGATAACTTTATTCGAACCGAGTTAAAGGAGATTAATTCTTTTGTGGATCACTGAAGAACCTATTGAGGGAAGGGAAAATTTCTGGTGGTCTACTACGAGCAAACTTTCTAACAGCATGTTCAGCATATTTTTGTCCCTCTTCAAAGTTGTCCAGAACACCGGCAGCTCTTTTCTCCTTGCTTACCCTGTCCCGTGATATTATTAAACAAGAAAAATGGTAAGTTCTTGTCCGGTGTAAAGAACAGTAGATATACAAATGTTGCTGCAAATATTCAAATACATTGTTGGCATAAGTCTGTTATCACTACAACTAGGCATGGAATTTATGATACTAGTTTGACTTGTTTATCAAAGTTGATTTGAAATTTTGGAGTATTATTAACCCTTTTCCTGTCTTTAATTAGCTTGTTCTTTTTATCATAGCTTTTTATAATGGGGAAAGGGGAATTGTTCCTACATATATAGTCTTAGTATAATTTAACAGATCATATAACTTTAATAGCAAAAACTAGATGAGATGTCAAGGCTGCACGCAAACTGGCCCAAACATTACGGTTATCCAAAAATAAAAAAAAACTGATGAAATGATGATGGATAACAAAGATTTGGGCAATTCACAACGTTTTTGTTCTTATTTTCATTGAAGAAAAGTGGAAGATCTACTAAGTAAGCCCATATTGACCATGAATGTAGCCAAGTCAGCTTTAGCCTTTAGCCATTAGCAGGCAGGGGAAAGAAGAGAATCCAAGGTATCCAAAGGGTAACAAGTAAGGGCGAAAACCTATTTGAAAGGAATTGACCAAAAGAAAAGCATATGCTCGTATTTCCATCAGAGGAATTGACCAAAACTACTGTAGAAATATACTAAATCATACTGAGAAATAGAGTAATAACAAAAATATAAGCAAGAATTTGAGGAGAGAAACAAGGCGAACCTGACTTCAGGATTGATACGCATATTACGAACCAACTGAAGTCCACAGATTCCGATGGCAACACCTACGGCTGCAAACAGTGGATATACCTGTACTCACACATTCATTTTGCATCCATAAGCTTAGAAATTTCGGAAATTTTGAAACAAAAAAGTGAAGGATAAAAGATACCTCAGGCCTGAGCCAGCGATTAGTAGCCATGGAAAGAAGCTGTTTGATTACAAAACCACAAGGGCAATGAACAAAGGATGAATTACAGAGAGAGACAAGGATAGAGATGGGGATTGAGGAGTACTAGTACAATAATGGAGAGCAATAAACAAGTTTATCTTGTTTTAGGTATTGGAGAAGTTGATGTTGATTGGATGATGGTTCTGACATTATCATTGGCTTACTACCAATCACTCAAAGCCACGTTTCAACACCTGACAAGGATAACTTTTAGAACCCACCACTAGCCAGAAAAAAGGGAAAAAGAATTAGAAAAGCCAAAAGCTAAGCCTTAAACATATTCCGATACATGCGCTGAGAATTTAACCCACGGGGCTAATAGCCTGTTTGGCCAAGCTTCTTTTGATGCAAAAGGCTTTCTTTTGTCAGAAGTATTTTTTTTTTCTAAAATTAAGGTGCTTGGCCAAGCTTTTGAAAGGAAAAAGGTGCTTTTGAGGAGAAGCAGAAGCAGTTTTGGAGAAGCAGAAAAAAAAAATAGCTTATCTCCAAAGCACTTTTGATAAAAATATACTTAGAAGCAGTTTTTTAAAGCTTGGCCAAACACTAATTGCTGCTCAGAAGTGTTTTTCAAATTAATTAGCCAAACACAAACAGCTTCTCACCAAAAATACTTTTGAGAAAAGCACTTGTAATAAAAAACACTTCTCAACATAAACTTATTTTTGCAGCTTGGCCAAAACGGGCTATAAACCTGTATAGCAAATTGAGTTACCGATAAGAAAAATTATGATTAAACTTTACAGCTTGTTTCGATGGTTGTTATATACAGGGGCGGATGTAGCCCTTTACCCACGGGTTTAATTGAACCCATAACTTTTGATGCGAAGCACAAATTTCTGTGCAAAAATTCACTAAAATCGCAACAAATTGTAGATATGAACCTATCAATTCTAAAAACATTAAAGGTAGAACTCATTGAATTTACATTCTAGATCCGCCTCTGGTTATATATCGTTTCATAATATTTCCTATCGTATTGTATTGTATTGTTTAAATATATAAAATGCTTTGATAAATTGTACGTCATCGTTTCATGATATCATACACTAACAATATGAAGTAAACTTACGCAATACTACAAAGAAAAGTAAGTGTATTGGTCAAAATCTGACCGCTGCGGTCAAGCTGACCAACATCCCGTCCAAGCGGCGAGGCAGCGAAAGACAACATGGTCTATTCCATATCCCTCCCTCACGACATCCGTCGAATCAGAAGAAACTACATTCAGGGGACCGCCAAGGCAGACATAGTGTGAAAGAGCGTCAGACCAAGTACATAGCAAATGGTCCATGTCTATATATAGTAGAATAAAAACTCCCACTGGAGGAGGCGGATTTGGGACCTCTCTCTCTCTCCATCTTTCTCTCCTCTGTAATCTTCCTAAGTGAAAAGAAGAACGAAGCAATCTCCAAGAAAATATGTAAAATGTTCTCCTCCGTTGATTAATGGGAGTGACAATGGAAAGTTTCAATAAGATTGGTTGCCTCTATCTCATCTTATGTATTGTTTTTCCAATTAGTTTATTGATCTGGAATTTATTATGTTTGACTAAGATTTACCCCTTCATTCTCTTTAAATGATTTATTCACAAAGGTTCCAATATCTTTTGGGTCAAATAATTTGGCGCCGTCTGTGGGATTTCTTAGTGGAATTTCCTAGTCTCTTCCAGATCAAAAACCGAAAACACGATTACCCACCAAAAAGAGCACCAAGGCAAAACCCAACCCACACAGAGCAAAGGTGCAACATAGAAGGGGAAAGAGAGTTGAATACATTCACCAAATTTAGAAATCATCGCCCCGCCAACAGTCGAAATGCCAGACAAAACGAGCAACGTTACAAACCCACTCTCATTCACCAACTCATCAGATGGAGGTAAGGAAAATATCGTTTTGACTCACCTCCTGCTCTTTGCTCAAGCAGGAACACAAGCGCCGCGCGGGTGAGCGAGCAAAAAAACATCTCAATCGGAGAATGGCAAACTACTACAAGACAACCAAAATATCGCCCACCAATAACACCTCCAGATCGGAAAGAAGAAATCAGACAAGGAAACCCCAATGTGTGCACAAACGAACGTAAGCGAAACGGCAATATTTCTTACTCTCTGACATTACACTCTCCGACGCAAACAATATCATTCGAACTGGGACTCCCCCAGAGGATACCTGATTCTCCACAAACTGGGACTAACGACGGGATAACATTTCGACAAGTTCGAAATAACACCCTTTAAGGCCAAGGGCCTTCGCCAGAAAGAAGAGTTCGACCTCGATCGAACGACGACGGGTTAACATTTCGACAAGTTCGAAATAATGCCCTTTAAGGACAAGGGCCTTCGCCAGAGAGAAGAGTTCGACCTTGATCGAACGACGACGGGTTAATATTTCGACAAGTTCGAAACAACACCCTTTAAGGCCAAGTTCCTTCGCCAGAAAGAAGAGTTCGACCTTGATCGAACGACGACGGGTTAACATTTCGACAAGTTCGAAATAACACCCCTTAAGGCCAAGGGCCTTCGCCAGAGAGAAGAGTGCGACCTTGATCGAACAACGATGGGCTAACATTTCGACAAGTTCGAAATAACACCCTTGAAGGCTAAGGGCCTTCGCCAGAAAGAAGATTTCGACCTTGATCGAACGACGACGGGTTAACATTTCGACAAGTTTGAAATAACACCCTTTAAGGCCAAGGGCCTTCGCCAGAGAGAAGAGTTCGACCTTGATTGAACGACGACGAGTTAACATTTCGACAAGTTTGAAATAACACCCTTTAAGGCCAAGGGCCTTCGCTAGAAAGAAGAGCTCGACCTTGATCGAACGACGACGGGTTAACATTTCGACAAGTTCGAAATAACACCATTTAAGGCCAAGGGCCTTCGCTAGAGAGAAGAGTTCGACCTTGATCGAACGAAGACGAGTTAACATTTCGACAAGTTCGAAATAACACCCTTTAAGGCCAAGGGCCTTCGCCAGAAAGAAGAGTTCGACCTCGATCGAACGACGACGGCTTAACATTTTGACAAGCTCAAAATAAAACCCTTAAAGGCCAAGGGCCTTCGCCAAAAAGAAGAGGTTGACCTCGATCGAACGACGACGGGTTAACATTTCGACAAGTTCGAAATAACACCCTTAAAGGCCAAGGGCCTTCGCCAAAAAGAAGAGTCTTACCTCGATCGGACAGCGACAGGTTAATATTTTGACAAAAGCTCGGAATAACACCCTTAAAGGCCAAGGGCCTTCGCCAAAAAAAAGAGTTCGGCCTCGTTCGGACATCGATGGGTTAATATTTCCATAGAAGTTCGGAATAACACCCTTAAAGACCAAGGGCCTTCATCAAAAAGAAGAGTCCGACCTCGATCGGACAACGACAGGTTAATATTTCGGCAAAAGTTCAAAATAACACCCTTAAAGGCCAAGGGCCTTCGCTAAAAAGAAAAGTCCGACCTCAATCGGACAACGACAGGTTTATATTTTGACAAAAGTTCGAAATCACACCCTCGAGGCCAAAAGCCATCGCTGAGGAGACAAGTTCGAAGTGTGCATAAGGCCGAGGGCCGTCAGAAAATAGAAAGGGAAAGAAAGACTGGTACTCACAACGGGATAATGCTTCGCTATAAGCCCGAAAGTAACACCCTTATGGATAAGGTCGTTTTAAAAAGAAATAAACGAAGAAAAGTTCGATACCATCCGGACTATGACGGGGTAGCATCTCAACATATTCAAAAGTACCATCCCGCCAACGAAATCCGTCATCAAGATCCAATTCAATCCGAACGGTATTAAAGTCCCAAAGAATTAGGGAACTTGTCATACGGGAATCTACTTCGCACCGAAGTTATGAGAAGCAAAAATAGAGAAAAAGTACAAGGCATATAACAATGAAAAATTCCTATTTATACAGAGTCACTACGCAAACAGTCGCCGATTACATACGCGCGTGAACCAACAGTCTAAAGAAAGGGGGAGAAAGACAACGACAACGAACAAAAAAAAGAAAAGACAGAAAATAGATAAAGACAACAACTCCTTCACTCGGCGTCATCATCGCCACCCTCTTCACCATCATCTCCAGGAAGTCGTCCCTCGCCATTCGTGCCCTCATCAGCTTCCGGCGTCGCAGAGTCATATCCACTATTAACACGAGCCTCTCGCGCCTTCGCCCGCGCTCCTTCATATGCGACCTCGGTAACATTTCCCACCTCCCACAAACTCTTGTATATATCCCGCTGGGCTTCAACATAAAACCAAAGATCGTGCAAGTGGCGGGGAATAGCGGCGGAGGAAGACTCGATTTGAGCCAATAGCTGCTCCATTTCGGCCTCTAGAGCGGAGACCCGATCTCCCAAGATCGATGCTTCCCCGTCGATCTCACCAATGCGTTCCTCAAGCCTCGCCTCCCTTAGTGTGGCCGTCGCCATTTCCGATTCTTGCTCGGATTAGAAGACGCAGATAGTATTCTCCAGGGTCGCCGCCCTTGCCAAAGACGAAGACCAAACCTTTCTCTCCAATTCGGCCAATTTTCCCATCCACTCCGCACTCATCGCCTCGACCTTGATAAGATTGTGATCCATTTCAGGTTGCATCGACCTCAGCATCCCCTGAAGATACTCACACTCTGCAGCAACCCATTTTCCTAACTCAAGCTCTTCGTCTTTTTTACGAAGTTGCTCCTCGAGTGCACTCTTACTACAAATAGCCTGCATCAATTCCTGATCCCTTTTCTCCAAATCCTCGCCAAGGGACCGATCACCAGGGTTCGCCTTCAACCGCTCGTGCATCTCACGACACTTGTCGCGATAGTGCCAGTACTTCTCCAACATCTTCAAGAAAATCGTGGCCCGAATGTCGGCCCGGCGAACACTCTCTATTTCCACTATGTACGTCGAAGAAATGAGAAGATGAGTTAAGACCATATCACCAGGAAAAATGAGAGAAATATAAAAGGAAAAAGTGTAACGTACTATCAAGCCCATAGCGGCCACTTCATGCATCAAATCAATATCGGGAACGCCCCGAAGAGCCGCATTCTCAGCAGCAAATCACAAAATGTCGAACTGCGGCACCAGATCCTCCGTGTCCCCTAGGAGATTGATGTCCGATGGGATCTCGAGAATACGGGACGGGCCTCCCGCATGAACCACCGAATGGGTAAGACCCTCTGTAAACATCCTAACATCATCAGGATCGAGGTCCGACTCGGATTTGTAGTCATAGACCACGACGCCCTTTCCCCTTTCAGCAGCCAAGGAGGAAACACGACCAGGTATGGAGGACGAAGGCCCGTCCGAAACCACAACGGCGGCCTTAGAAGTCTGGCCTCTCGTCACGGCAGGTTGCTGATCAACAACAGTAGCAGGTATCTCCATCGGCGGGGCAGATACGACGGCTGGCTCTATCTTTACGGGCGGAGTGGTATCAACCCCCGCCCCAGATCCCGTTAAGGGAGAGTCGTCTAGATGTATCACAGTTGGAGGTGTTGTATCGAACTCTACTCGCCGCCTCTTGGACGACCCCTCTCCCTCTCAGCACGGTGAGATTCACCCGTCAAATGAGCAGCACGGAATGGAGCCTCAGTATGAGATGTGGCCTCTGTAGGTATAATCGCGGCCAAAGACTCAATTGAAGCAGCCCTCGACGAAGGTCGAGCAATAGACACTGTAGCAAGGCGAGCAGACGATGTCGGTTGCCGAAAAGCTAGTGGAGGAGCCCTCGCTCTCCGCACTCTCCCTGACATCAGCAAGCAGCACATAAGAAACTAATTAAAAAGAGAGGAAAAATAGCAAACAGAAACAACATCTCACCTGTAAGAGGCCCGCGTCCATATTTTTCATAAAAGGCCGACCATGTGTGAACCCCCGCCGTATGAGGAAGGATGGCACTCACCCACTTGCGTATACCTTCGACGGGTGGAGGGGCAATTTCGCAACTGCAGAAACATAATAGGGTTTAGTATTGTAACAGAAAGCGGTCGGGCATTTCTCCGACTAAAAACATAGAAACTTACACGCAAAGTTCCACTTCTCAGGGAACCCCGTTGGATCCGCCACAAGGTGCTCGGTCCGCACGTAGAAATAATTCTCTTAGAAACGAAGGTTAGCCCTGTCGTCTATCTTCACCACCAGACTCTTCGACCCCCGATGACGCATGTGAATCATCGTGCCACGAATAAGCTGAGGGGCGAAGATATTGAGCATGTGCTCCAAAGTGATCTCACCGCCGGCGAGCTCCGCGAACTTGAGAAACATAAGGAACAATTTATACAGGTATGGCGAAAGTTGAGCGGGGCATACCTCGTAAAAACGACAGAAATCTACCACTAGGAGAGGGACAGGAAGTATGTACCCAATAAGAAAGGGGTAGGCGTAGAAAGTGCAGTACCCGGGGTGATCAAAATGGACTATGTCGTCCCTACCGCCGGTCGCATTTCAACATAACGGGGAATTCCCCACCTGGCTTTCAAATCTACGATTTCCTTCTCCTTTGTAACCGAGGGGACAGGTTCCAGCTCCTCCCTGGCGCGACTGCAGAAGTCGGTCCATGCTTTCCAAGGACGAGACAAGAACTCGGCTACCGATGGAACCTCCTCATCATCCACCACTTCTGCTCCTCCGATGGCAGGACCATCATTTTCCGGCGCCGCAATTGGGACAGGGAGGTCAGCGCGAGAAGAATCACCAACCATTGTGTCAATTCGGTGAAGAAAAAAGACAATGAAAAGGAGGGATGAAAGTTTTCAGTTAACTGGGGGCGAGTAAAAATTTGAAGTATCAGGAAGAAAGTATATTGCAAAATTCTTTCAAGCAAAGGGCAAGGAAATGTGTCAATCGAATGATGTGTTCCTTCTATTTATAAGAGACATAAATCCCCCAAGCACGAAATCCAAGAGTCTCTAATCGAACTTGGTGGCGCACTAAACATTTTGATTCCCTAGGAATGTGTGTCATAATGTCGGCAACCACAAAACAACGTTTCAATCCAAACGATGTTTCGGTTCCGAAATAGTCGCAACGGTCCAGGGATATCGAAAGAGCGCCGCCACCTTACTTGAACCTACGGGGAATAACCAAGGGGTGAGTAGTCAGATTTCTCTCGGACTTGTAGCAATCGTAATCCGTCTACCAGATCCGATAGGGGGCGACCCCGACAGACGGAGGGACTAACTGTATTAGTCAATCTGACCGCTGCAGTCAAGCTGACCAACATCCTGTCCAGGCGGCGAGGCAGCGAAAGACGACATGGTTTATTCCATATCCCACCGTCACGACATCCGTCGAATCAGAAGAAACAACATTCAGGGGACGGCCAAGGCAGACATAGTGTGAAAGAGCGTCAGACCAATTACATAGCAAAGGGTCCATGACTATATATAGTAGAATAAAAACTCCCACTGGAGGAGGCGGATTTGGGACCTCTCTCTCTCCATCTTTCTCTCCTTTGTAATGTTCATAAGTGAAAAGAAGAACGAAGCAATCTTCAAGAAAATATGTAAAATGTTCTCCTCCGTTAATTAATGGGAGCGACAATGGAAAGTTTCAATAATATTGGTTACCTCTATCTCATCTTATGTATTGTTTTTCCAATTAGTTTATTGATCTGGAATTTATTATATTTGACTAAGATTTACCCCTTCACTCTCTTTTATTGATCTATTCACAAAGGTTCCAATATCTTTTGAGTCAAACAGTAAGGTTAAGGTAAAATTATCATATAAAAGTGTAGGATAAAGGATAAAAGGTTTATTTAATAATAAGGAAAACAAGATGAGAGGAAAAAATAAAGGTAACGATGCGGTATTATTAAATCGGTCGTGACACTTTTCATCGTTATGTAATGACATATTTAACGATATCCAACAACAACAACAACAACCCAGTATAATCCCACTAGTGGGGTCTAGGGAGGGTAGTGTGTACGCAGACCTTACCCCTACCATGGGTAGAGAGGCTGTTTCCAAATAGACCCTCGGCTTCCTTCCCACCAAGAACTCCCCTCCTTGCTCTTGGGGTGACTCCAACTCACACCTCTTGGTTGGAAGTGGGGGTTGCTTACCATCAGAGCAACCTCTCTTGTCTGACTTATTTAACGATATAATACAATAAAATTTGAGTAACAGTCGAAATAAATATTGTATTTAAAATAACGATATGTTACAATACAATAGGTAGCCTACTATTAGAAATTGGTAGTGACTTTTTCGTTCTTCCGTCTGTGAAGCACATAAGCTATATCTGCAAAACTATTAAAGAAATGGAAAAATTATAAACAGTGGCCAGACGAGGGGAGAAATTAAAAAATAGCCAGATTTACAACTAGTCGTTCAAAAATAACCCAATTTCATAAGTAATCGAAATTTAGCCACTTTTTATGTAAAGATAAATCTGAGCGAAAACACTGTTCAAAACCCGAAAAATACTCCAGTATATTATGCTGGAGTTCCAGCATAAGCATACTTGAATTCCAGCATATTATACTGGAGTTCCAGGATAAGTCTGCTGGAACTCTAACATAATATGATGGAGTTGCAGCATAAGTACACTAGAACTCCAGCATAATATACTGGAGTTCCAGCAAGTATACTGGTACAGTATAATATACTGGTGTTTGGAGCACTGGTGCTCCAGTCTCCAGTATATTATACTGGAGCCACCAAAGTATACCTGGTCCAGCATAATATGCTGGAGTTCATACACAAGTGCACCGAACTCCAGTATATTATGCTGGACCGGTCTCTATTCCAGCAAAATAGTGGCTATTTTTTATTGACTTGGTAAACGCTGGCTATTTTTGAATGACCTGTCCGAAAACTGGCTATACCATGCTATTTTTACCCAGACGAAGGGTATTAGTGCCAATTCAGTCTTCACGATCTAGGCCCAAGGTTATAGTTTGGTTATACAGATGGGTTTTGTGCAAGCCCAAGTTCTAGTGGACAGGTTATTATGTTATAGCCCAAGTTCCACCAATAATGTGTTCAAGTTCTATGCACATACTGCCTAAAAATATTTATATACAAGTTACTTAAAATGTAATTGCATGTAATTTATTTAACAATATTCATTGGTAACCTAAATAAATGATAAATAACCAGCTATAAGCCTATAACGTGTTAAATTATACAAATGGTGTAAAAATTTACTACACCATCCGTGTATATAATTTTAATCCTCAAATATATTGCTGCCTCAGTGTACACTTAATCATCGTAAACTAACGTGGTTGGATATAAACATGAAGTGAAGATAAAAGAATTTTTTCGTTCTTCTATTAACTTGAATTTTGGAATTGTAGGGGGACATAGGATGAAATATAAAATGAAACGTTGGAAACTCAAATGGTTATCCTAAACAATCCAACCGTTTCTATTTTTAAAACCTCAACATCCGTTTTTTTTTTTCCATTCGAGTACTATAAAAAAAGAAAATTAACGAGTACTGCTCTATGTACCTCTATCATATTTAAGATTAGATATTAATTTCAAAACCTTTTTAATCTCCACTTCGAGTGAAATTATGCTAATTTCTCAAGCTAGAAAGCCACATGGCGCACATCCGAATATGTTTAGGTGAAACAGGCGAGCGGTTTCAGTAGTAAAATAAAAGATAATGACTGGAAAAAAGCATCATTGCAACTGATAAGCTATTATTATAACAGAATTTGAACGTTAAAATTATACGAAACGGTAATATTTGGAACGGGCGAGGAGTATTTTTCGGGAAGGAAACTTTCTAATTGCCCCTTTTAATTCGCATTATAGGTTTAGACTTTATTAAGATCAGAGACGTTAAGAATTTTGAACTTTCAACGTCTCTGAGAGGGAACTTGACTACTTGCCCCTTTAAATATAAATGATACTAGCTATTAGTAATATTTCAGAGTTTTGATCACACTGTATTGAGAAAGCCATGGCAATCAATACTATTCACGTTGACTTCTTCGGTGATCGAATCCACAACAGTCACTGACAACCCAAGCTATGTTACTCATTGGATCTGGCAAACTGAGTCCGTCCATGCGCGTCGCCTCCATCGCCTCATTGTTGGACTTGATATCGAGTGGCGGCCCACTTTCAACAGCAATCAACAAAGCCAAGTCGCAATTCTTCAGCTTTGCGTTGACCACCGTTGCCTCATATTTCAACTCCTGCACTGTCATTACATACCTACTGCTTTAACCACTTTCCTGGTCAACCCAAATTACAACTTTGTTGGGGTTGGAATCAAAGGTGACGTTGAGAAGCTGGAAAAGGATTATGGGATAAGTGTGAAGAATGTGGTTGACTTAAGGCATTTGGCGGCGGATGCTTATGGCATGACGGACCTGAGGAATGCTGGGTTAAAGAAGATGTGCGAAGTAGTTCTTGGAAAAGAAATGGAAAAGCCCAAGCATATTACTTTGGGTAAATGGGATAACAAGTGGCTCAGCGAGGACCAAGTGCAGTATGCTTGTATTGATGCTTTTGTTTCTTTCGAGATTGGAAAACGCTTGAATGCTTCTGGCGTTATGCTGCTAAATAAGGTTAATTAAGCTGTTAAATAAGGTTTTGGGCTGGAATTTGGATTTTGATCTATGAAGGGTGCACCGTTCTAAATGCAGATTTGGGTTCTAATATTTTGGGTTAAATATAAAAGAGTAAATTTGAAAAGTTGTTGCTTCTGCCTTCTTTTATTCTTCCATTACTAGGATATTTAGTATAATGTGTAACTTTTTCAAGTCTAAAAGCCTGAAAAATAATTATAGAGCGTAATGTAGTTATTCTGGCTTTAGTATCCATACGTACGTTATTTAAGCTAGTATGTCTTCGGATAATCTCACAATGAGCTACAGTAGAAGTGCTTTTGTTGAGTTGGTGTACCACTTAGTCACCTATATAAGAACTTGGTTCTTGCTTCGTTAAACAACTGAAATAGTAAAGTGCAGAATTAAATACACATAAAATTTTTACGTGAAAAACCTCCTTGCTAAAGGGAGTAGAAACCACGACCCACCTCTAGGATCTCTCACAAAAATTATACTAAAACAATGAGCGGTTTCGGGTTGTAAAACTCTTATAGTCTAAGAGACTGAATCCTAGCCACTTGACTACCTACAACCACTATGATTGTAGCAAAATTCTCAAGCTAGCTCTAGCCTAAGACTTGAATACTCTCACAGAGAAAAACCTCTCGAAATGCTTCTTGTATAAGCAAATATGATTACAACTCAATAACCCTAGCTAATACAATGAACAAGACTAGACACAATAAATTTGACACTGTATCAAGGAACAGGTTCTCTAGTTTGGTTCTTCTGCACATTCCAACCTTCAATATCCACTTCAGAATTTTGAACTCGTTTTTTTTTTTTTTTTTTACTTTTCTTTCAATTTACTCTGAAGAAATAATGGAAGTGCATACCTGCAATGAAAACTTGGACTACATATAGGTAACACGTTAGTAGCATAAAGACTCCAAATCATAAATGGAAACAAATAATAAGAGACCTACTTCATAAAGAACTTACCATATATGACCACATAGTTTTCCTTATTTGTTTCCTACTCCAATTCTAACTCTTTTCCAGCAAGAAACGTATTTAATTTCCACTAACTTCATGCAAAATATATACCTTAAAGATCTCCCTCATGACCCTAGAGAATAAAGGAAGTTTAGGAAAAATATGATTTTTTTTCCTAAAATAAATTCACTTTTAACGCTACTTTCTTACAAACTTGGTCTCTAAGTTAACAATAAAGATTTACTGAGATTCTCTATTATCTTGGCAACCGGTAGGTCATAAAACAAGAAATAAGATAATATCTCTCTCAAAAGTGAATCCTACTCCCGCTAGGATTAAGTGTCAGGACTCTGCAAGACCAACCCAGCAGGACCAGGTCCTTCGACCAACCCAATATATTTGCCATGTTTGTTAATCATCAAAACCATAATTCACCAATTTTCAATAATTTTCGCCTTTTTGATGATGACAAACAAGAGTCCTTCCCACTAATATTTGACTGTAGTAACTTTGTATGAAAGTAACTGCCTTATAAGAACCTTCAGCAGCTACTTTGAGAACCTGATTCTCAACACACGTTCACTGGATACAATTGTTAAACATCAAAATCCAATTCTCAATAATTTTTCCCTTTTTTATGATGACAAACAAACGTACACAAAATCCTATATAATTCATACGTGATCAAACCAAACAATTCACACACAACACATAAGAACATGATTATATAAAAGTGGGCTAAACTAGATTCTTTGTACCACTTTTGTGCACATTTTAATCTTTCCCCTTTTGGAAATATCGAATATATCAACATCTATCAGTATGACAAACATGTAGCAAAAATGTAATATCAATCTTATGGCTGTTGGAGCTTCACAACAAACAATCAAGTTAAACACTCTCAAGAACATTAGTCTATGAATACTAGCCATCAAAAAGTAGTGAAACCAAAGCAAGCAAAAATTACATTAGGAAAAAACCAGTTGCAATGTAACAGCTAAGCACTACAACATCACAATAGAACTATAAAGCATGATTATTCAACAAAAGACCACAGGATCAAAAGGGAATTGGACTTATTTCATAGGAAAAAGTGTAAGGACTAGGTTCAAGGGCTTCGAGAAGTATGAAAAACAAATTCTTTTCTCCTTTTTCAACAGCAGTAATAATTCCTCCTTTTACCATTTTGGTATTAGTGAACTTGAACAATACCATATTCACCTTCTTCTTTTCAGTCCTCCTTTTTTTTTGGAAGATGTGCTGAGTAATTAATTTTTTCCTTCATTTCATACCCCCTTTATCCATACACAAAATACAAAGCTTTTGCACAAGTGTAAGGGACTCACCTTACATTCATTGCAACTCTATAGATGGCAAGGTGTATAACTTTTTAATATATGCAAAATCAAACAACATTCACTTTTTTGTGCAAATACATATTCTTCCCTTTTTTCCCTTTTTTTAAACAACACACAACTCAACTTTTTTTTCAATCATAAGTTCCAGTTCCCCCTAAGTATGTGTATCATTTTTTTGTGCAATTAGATCAATGCTCTTTTTGAACCTAAACTTTTGATTCATCCTTTGTATATGCATCTTTTTCTCCTTTAATGTTTTATGGCCGACAATGTTTAAGATGCGTGTGAGGCTGGGGCTTTAAAAACTTTGAACGTTCTAGGTAGAGGATGCATTTTTAAGTGGAGTTTAGACTGGACTATGTGGCTTTTGCAAGCAAATAATGAATTCAGTCCAGAGTGAGTCAATCCATACCTGAACACTGACGAATCAGGTTCTTCTGCTTGTTACTTCCCAACCTGCAATGACTCTCTATCTTTGACAATAAGGATAGCATCATTAGACCATTATGATAACTGTCATATCTTGGTCCGAGTATACACTTTTTACAGTATAAGATTGGGAAAGACATTTAAGCCATTTTAGCATACATCAAATACAGATCATACTAGCCAATCTTTTGAAGGAATACTCAAGCAATCATGATAAATGATGAAAAGTGCATATTTTTTAGTATATTTGCATATTAATTCTTGTGTGAGTCCCGGGAGTTTACGTGATTTTTGAAGTAAAATATACTCATTTGTGTTTCTTATGTGTAGAAACGAGTTTGGATGATAAATGATCAAAAGATGACAATTCGAACAAAAAGAAGAGATGAAAAGAATTGGGAGATCGTCCAATTTCGCGTGTGGCACGAAAGCGGACGCTAAAAAGGAGAAAAATATAGGCACAAAACAGCGAAGGCATGGATCACTTCGCGAACTGGAAAATTGCAAAAGCTGAGTCCGCGTCCAAGTTCGCGCGCTACACGAAAGTTGACGCGCCCTCCAGCTCTCCTATCCGAAGTTGGACTGAAAACTTCCGCCCCTCATCAACCTTAGGTCATATAAATACATTCTAAAATACCACTTTGAAGGGAGAGAAGACTTTAGGGAGGCAAGAACATTCTAGGATCAAGAAGGAGAAGGATTCAACTTCACGTTTTTTCCTATTTCTTCCTCTATTTCCATTATTGGTTATGAATTCTAGTATTGTAGTTTTGCACACTATTATGAATAGCTATTTATTATCTAGGGTTTTGATGGAACCTTTTAGAGGATGAATTCTTGTTATGTTTTTATATAATTGAGTCGTTGGATTTCTCTACTTGTTCAACTACGTGTTTGTTGTTTTTGATTGAATGGCCATCAATTGACTGTGCCTATTTAGTGTGTATTGCTTGGAAAAGGGTACATATTTAGGTAGTTGTTGAACAACATCACTCGTAGCGTATGTGAGGGATCAATACGGAGAGTTTAAAGGTAGGATTAGGAAAAACGAAGCCTTGGTGCGATCTTAGTGAGCGGTGCACTAGTGCAGCAAGCGTAGTTCGGAAGAATATGTCTAGCAAATTGTGGTAGTTACTCGAAAGAGAATTACAACAACTGAAGTGATCACGATCAGTAGAGAATACTTAGGCGAAATTAAAGAAGACGCAGCGGGAAGGATTCCGACAATTGGAGAAATCATAACTCTAGACCTCCTAAATCTTGTCTCCAATCCTTATCCTTGTTAGCTGATAGTTTTACAGCTTTCTAGTATTTGTTAGTTAATTAGATAAAAATAAACATTATAATCTTTATAATTAGAAAATTATTTGAACTTGTGTTTCTTAGCGATATTGAACAACTGTAGCTCAACCTCAGTTCTCTGTGGGATTTGACTTCGGACTTGTAAATCGGATTATATTTGCAAAGTATCGCTTAGTCCTTTATATAAGGCATAGTTGGGCGTGACCAAATTTTGGTGTCGTTGCCGGGGAACTAACGGTGTAGCTGTAGATATATTGCTACTTTTCAAGTTTGAACTTGTATCTTTTTTTTTATTTGATTTTTTAAATTTTTTGTTTAACTTGTTGATTTGAGAAACATGGCATCTTGGAATTATGAGAGTTTTGATGTTGGTAATTCTACTATTGATCTTTCTAATGCTTATTGTGGAGAAAACCACCCATGGAAAAATTACTAAAATATTTTCGAGAGCGAGCTATGTGCACCAAATCAATCTTATGTATGGAATGTGTGTGATACGAGTGGTGGTCAGATGGTCACTTTCATGGTTGTGCTTATATGTCTTATCATCCCCCAACCCCTTACTATGATGGTTCTACTTTTTCGGGTGAAATTAATAGGAACAAAGAACCCAGGGAAGTTGACCCGAAGGAGATAAAAGATATGTTAAAGTACCTCACGGAACGAAGTAATGAGAAACAAATGCAAATACAAAGACTAGGGGATACTAACCAAAGGCAATGGGATACTATCCAAAGGCAAAAGGCAGCTATTCTTAACCTGGAGGCACAAGTGAGGAAATTGGTTGAGGCTTTAAATGCTCAACTAGATAATATTATGAATTGTAGCCAGGAGCAGTGTGTATTAGAGACAAAAGTTGAGGTACCAATAGAGGGGTCCATAGTAGAACACCAACAATCAATCAAACTAGAATTTGAGGATGCCGATGTTGTAGAAGAGATACTAGAGTCAACCAAGGACATTGTGGATACATATTTAGTTGACTCTAGTGTCATTGGTGTTGACGATGCTGACATTCCCAAAGTTCACGTAGTTGAGCGCATTGGTCCACACTCCAAGCACTTTTTCACATTGTGTTTGGATAATGATATGAAAATAGAGTCATCCGAACCAATTGAGGAGTCGGGGAATGAGG